GCAGAACACACTCACTAAAATATGCTCTAGTTTTTCTAAGTCCGGGAGGTGACTTGTTGTATTTAGATAAGGCCTTTTGACACATTAAGCAGTGTTAAAGACCGCAGGGAGTTCCACAGCAGTACCAGAGGAGCCGCCCTGCAGCACGGCCCACCTTCCCAATTACTGATGTCACTTTCAGTGAGACAGAGCATTTGGGATGCACAGCTCCACTGGTGCAACAGCCACGTAATATAAAAAAGGCGAGGTGAGTCATGAACGTGTTTTTTCCTGGAGCTCAGGTTCCACCCCAGCCATCTCACCACGGCTCCGTGCCCAGCAGCCTCTGCCCATGCAGTGGCGATGATTCATCAGGACCGAACACAAGCGCTGCCTGCAGCTCACACGCTGCCGGCCACACGATGTGCATGGCACCATTCTGGGGAAGGAGGAGGTGGCCACTTTGCATACCTGTCACATCTTCCCTTCCACCTCACAGTATGGCTGTAGCCAGGCAGATTCCAGCACACGGAGGTGATGGCTGCAGGCCCTGCAGTACCGCAGCAGAGCACCTTCCATGCAAGCGCTCGTTTCCGTCCATCTCCTGCAGCACAGCCACATTCACATGTTGGGATGGGTACCCTGCTTCCCAGGGAGTATTGTGCCCAGGCTTTGCATTGCTTCTCTTCACCTCAGGCTCCAGGTGATCTCAGTACAAGTGCCCTTTCACCTTCACTCCTGCTCTTTTCCACTCATGCTACCAAGCACATATCCACGGGGCTGCTGAGATATTGAGGACAGCATGAACAGCCAGACTGGGCCACTGCCATGGTTCATCTAATGCCAGTGAAACCATCTCTCTGCCATGCACATTTGCTATTTGTATCCTCTGTCAAGAGCGCAGCATACACCCGATTGCTCCTGGACTCCCTCCTGGTCTCCCCACTGCCATTCAGCACTGAGGCTGCAGCCAAACTGACCACAGCTGAACCGACAGGCGAGAACAACTCTGCTCATGGGAGCGCTGGAGGCCTGGCCAGGAGCCCGTGGGCACAGCACGGCACTGCTGCCTCCACACAGCCTGCACACAGCAAGGCCCTGCAGGAGGGCCAGGCACTGCCTGACTCCACTGGGCATCTTCCTCCTTAAAAAGAACACTGCAGATTTACAAACGTCAGCATAGCTGTTAAACCTCCATCAGGGATTAAGGGTGCTCCCTGTGAAGTGAGCAGAGCCCAGCAGCACGCACTGCCAGGCCCCTGTATCAGTGACCATGTCCTCTGCCTCCTACACTGCCACAGCTGTCTCAGCACTTCAGCTTTAATTACTCACATCTCTCTGCTGCATGAGGAATAAGAAGGGTCAGATGACTGCAATAATCACCCAAACCTTCATACAAATTTTGCTGGCTCTTCAGATGGATACTGTGCATATACTGCAGTCAGGCCTGCCTGTTTTGCTGTCAATTTGAAGGCAAAAGTAAACCACGCAGAGCAGCACATCCTGATTTGTTGCACACCATGCACTGCTTAGAGCTCTGAAAATGATGGCCTTCTGCACTTCCAGCACCTGGCACCTGCCATGTTCTCAGCACCACGCAGATATCAACCCTCCTGCCAGCACCCAGCTAACAGGAATAACGCGTTTTACATGCTGGAAAAAATGGGGCAGGAAAAATCAAAGCCCCTGGAAGAGATGGAAGGCTGCCTGAACACTCAGAAAACACACCCACACATTCATTAGCGCTTCCAAAATCAAGCCCTGAAGCACACAACTTCAGGCAGACACACCTACTGCCTGGTTCTGGAGCTGCTGCACCCAACCAGTTCCACCAACCAGCCCAGAAATGACAACTCCAGAACTAAGTGTTCACTCTCAGTGCTGCTCCTCAGCTCTATGTACACTCTGCCCTCCTCCAACAGCAACAGAAAAACCCCAGGTCCTGCAGGGCTTGCAGCCACAGGAGGTGCAGCACAGCTGCCAACAGATGGTTGCTGTGGGACAGGTCAGCTGCTGCAGGCATTCACACACAGCAGGTGCTTCAGGCCCAGGGTGCTGGAGCAGCAGCAGTAACAGGAATGCTGCCACTCGCTTTGTAAATTGAATACTATTGCAGAAATCACTTTGTCTTTTGTCTCTCTGTTATTCTTGCAACTGTGCTTCTTGTAAAGGGCTCAGGTTTACCTTGAAAATGGAGTCACTAAATGCTGCCCTCATGTAACATGCTCTTTAAAACAGAATTCAATAATCAAATTTTAATCACACAAGCACTGCTCTAAACTTAACAGGCTTTTCTTGACCAAAAGCCCTACAAAAAACCCTGAGCTCCATTCCAAGGCTTACATTCTGCACTGCTGCATTACAGCACAAATCCAAACCATGCAGCAGCCGTTACTGCTGCTGTGCTCCCATCGTTCTGCCTCTGGTCCATGGCAAAAGCTTTCCTCGGGCTAAGTGGCAAAGAAGAGCACACCAACCCACTTTTTCTTTTAAAAATCAACCTTGTGCTATGCGATTAAAGAAGAAAAAGTCAGATACAATCAATTATTAAATCTGATTACATTTCTACTAATTTTAGGCTTTTCCAATGATTGTCTCAACTATTTTTTCTTTCTCTCAGCATTATAATCAAGAGCCACGCTACCAGCACAGGGAGGTGAGTTGCAAGGACAATGCTCAATGTTGTCGAACATAGTGCAAGTGCAAATACACAACCAGAGGGGAGGATTCACATCAGAGCGCTGACAAAACACTGCTTACTTCTGCAGGGTGCCTGTTGTGATGAGACAGCTGGTACAGCAGAATCCCTGAGAGAGACCCCAGGAGCCTATGGACATGCTTTGATTCTGAGGGCTCCAGACAGCAGAAGGGAGCACCTCGGATACCTTTCTAGGGCTGTCCCAGCTCTGACACAGTCCTCTGTGCTCCTTCAGCGCACGGCAGGGACAGGGGCTGCCCCAGCACAGCCCAAACGTCTGTAGGGTCAGCGCTAAGGCGAGAACGCTCCGCTCCCTCTCGCCGAATAAAATCCCTTTGCTTTAACGCATCCGCCAAAGCCACCAAGCAGGAGACCTGCAACAGCACCGAGCAGCTTTTCTCGGAGGGAGAAACGAGCAGCAGAGATCTGAGATGTAACCGAAGGACCCCAAAGGCCGCGCACCGTACGAGGCGCAGACACAGAAGCAGCGTTCCGAGGAACGGCCCGGCGCCCGGCAGGCAGCAGCGCGGCACAGCCCGCGTCCCGCAGCGCCCAGCAGCCTGCAGCCGTTCCCACCTGCGCTGCACACGGCTGAGAGAACTGCTACAGCGAGTCGAGCTGACCGCCCCGATAGGAGCCGGGCGAGGAGGCAGGCTTGCGAACGGCCTTCCGCTGCAGCAAGCGGCTCTGTTTTTTTACTGGGCTTTCCGTTCCGGGCTGAACAACGCCGAGGAAGTAACTGTGACTGATTTCTCCGCGGACACCCGCCCGGCGCTCCGGCCCCGCTCCGCGCTCAGGGATTCCCGACGCGATCCGCCGCCGTCCCTGGGCATCTCGAGAGCTGCCGCCCAGGACGGCAGCCCTGACCGCCCCGCCGCGAGCCCACCCGGCCGCCAAGCACCTACCGGGAGCCGCAGAGCGCGACGTGCAGCGGAGCCACCACGGCAGCCTGTGGAGCGGGGCGGGGCGGGGCGGGGCGGGGCGGGGCGGGGCGGGGCGGGGCGGGGCGGGGCGGGGCGGGGCGGGGCGGGGCGGCCCTCAGCTCCCGCCCATCGGCTGCCTGAGCCGCCCCGCGGCGCTCTGAGGGCTGCGCGCTGCTGGCGGGAGGCGCTTCCCTCGGGGTGTGTTTGTGTGTGCGTAAGGAAAAGCGGCCCGGAACGCAGGTTGGAAGCTGTGGAGGCTGCGACCGGGAGCGGCTGCCCGGGCTGTCAGGGGAGCGCGTTGGACTGCTCTCCATTGCCCTGCACTACGCTCCATTGCCCCGTGAGAAACACAGGCGGTGCGCAGCGCGTTTCCAGTGCCAACACTTCTCATCTGCTCAGCGCTCCCCCCGCTAAACGCATCGGTGGCTGAGCTCTTCCTCGAGGTAGGAGCTGTGGAAATGTTAAACAAAACTCCTTTCACTTTTATGGACTATGTGGAAATTAACGTGGATAGGTTCTGGGTTAAAGAAAAACGTGTATTAAGATTAAATACGAGGTACCGGCCCACACGCAGTCCCCTCTCCGTCCTGTTTCCAGCCCGCGCTGAGGCGAAGCGCAGGAGCGGTTCGGCCCACACCGCCCAGCCCGGCAGCGGCGCGCGCAGCTGCTCTGTGGGTCAGAGGTCAGAGGTCGGGCCGGGCGGCACCGGGGCCGCGCGTGCAGCCGCCGCGCGCTGCTGACGCCTGGCCGGGGTGCTGGCGCCACCTTCCGGGAGCATGGTGCTGCGACAGCGCCCTCGGCAGCGCCGAGCCGCTACGCCTGAGGGCGGGGAGGCCGCGCCTGCAGTGCCTCCCGCGGAGAGGAGCGGAGCTGATGCGCACCGCCGCGCCCGAGCACGGAACGGCGGCGCGGGCGGCGCTCCGCGGGTACAAGCGCGGCTCTGCCTGCTGAAAAGGGCCTCGCAGGCCGCACAACCACCAGGCGGTAGCGTGGCCGAGTGGTCTAAGGCGCTGGATTTAGGCTCCAGTCATTTCGATGGCGTGGGTTCGAATCCCACCGCTGCCAAGAAGTTTTGTCTCGCCTCGGCGGCGGCTCCTTTTCCCGGCCGGCAGCCGCCCGGCGGGGCGCGGGGCTTCCGAGCATCACCTCGCGGAGCTCCGTGCAGCGCTGGGTACAGCGCCGCTCACCGCCGCCCTCTGGCTTCGGAATGCAGGCGGGGAGGCGGAGAGCGACGCTCGCCACGCGTCCGCCCGTGCCCTCACCGCCCCCCGGTCACGGCCGTCCGTGTCCCCCGGCTCCGCTCCGCCTCCTGCCCACCCACTCCTGTACTCCGCTCCCGGCTGTTCCCTCCCAGCATCCCGGGGGAAGGGAAGGCGGTCTGTGGGAGTGCTTAGAGGCGGCACAGCCCAGCCCTGGGAGACGTGGCAGCGCGGAGCCGCAGAGAGGCACCGCACCGGTTTCACGGAGCTTCACGTTCCCTTTTATTTTCCCTCATATGCAGTGACGCGGTCAGTTCACAAAGGAAATTCACACCGTGTGAGCTCCGTGCAGCCCACAGGGGCGATTCACAGCCGGGAGTGCTCCGCGTGCTTCTTCCGCACGTTTCTCAGCTCCCCGCTCCTGCGCTGTCTCCATCTGCTTTCCGCTGCTTTTCTCCGTCGGCTGTGCCCTGTGTTCTTTTCGCAGCTCCTCGTGCACTCCAGCAGTCAGTTTGGAAATATGTGTGACTTTAAACGTGTCTTAGTGATGGACTTTGGCTGCAATTGCTTACAGTGTTGGTGGTGTTCAGGTTTGTTCTGTTTTTAATCTAAAATAAGTGCCTGTCTGTGGAGCTGGGGATGTTCCATGGGAGCAATTCTGCAGGGAGCACATGCAGCCTGTGTGAGTCAGTGCTGTGTTTCCTTAAAAAAGTGCAAAACTGAAAGGTCATCAAATCTTAAAGAAAGAAAAATCAAACTTAAAATCGCAAGGAACAAAAGCATCACTTTGGGGAAGACGTGCTCGCTCCGGGCCTCTGCTCTGGTTTTGATGTAATGCTCCACAGAATCGGCGAATGCGAACTTCTCCGGGCTGTAGCCCAGCTGCCTGCGGGCCTTGTCGATGCTGAAGGTGTGCGTTGTGGAGACGTTCTGCACCTGTCAGCAAAGGAGCCAACACACAAAGTGTGAGTGTGTAGCAGAGCTGAACAAAGGCTGTGCACGGTGGCAAAGACCCACTAAAACGAACTGTAAAACTGTATTTAAAAATATGCATATCCAAACCTGTTGACTACTGACATATGTCATGTAGTCTTTTTGTTCACCCAACAGGAGTGTGCCGAGAGTCCAAAGAAGCAGTAAAGGCTGCACAGCACGATTTACTCCTGAAAACATCCACAAAGTGTTCTGCACTCCTATGTATGTAAGGACACAGTAAAAGTCATCCCTAGGGTGCCTGAAGGGTCTTCAAACCTTAGGTCCCAGCTGTACTCATATGGTACGTGTGCATCCTGGGGGAACAAGGGAGCTTACAAACAAACCTGTACCTCATTTCTGGTCAGCAGAGGTGACAGCTCAACCAATGGTTTCAGTATCAGATGAAGATGCTCCATGACTGTGGCTGCAGAACAAAAGATTTCTTCTTGAGGGAAGAATAGCCAGTTGCAGTACCTTATGATTGTGGCATATCACACACTATATTTGATAGTGAAGGATAATCCTGAGCCTAGGAGAGCTCAGGGCACCCTTAATGCTGACAAGGAGCTGGGTTTCATCTTTCTTGCTTCAGTCAGCCTGATTTTAGGGTGTGTGCCTCACAAGGGTTTGAAGGCTGTAACTGGGCTAGCACAACGATCTTGAGAACTCATACAGACATGATAAAACCAAACTCTTCTGGGTGAGATTCAATCTAGTGGCACGTGGGTTTGTTTCGGGGGGAGTATGGGAGAAGGGAGTACAAGAAATTAACTTGTGCAGGCAAAGCTGGTAATCTGCAGGTATTTCATGGAGTCATGGATTTTTACATAAAACCTTCTACGTCTTCCACAAAGCTGCACATCTGGTAAGCCTTAGAAACTACAACCAACCCAAACCATCTGTTTTAGTGTGACTTAACTCACAGATCATTCTGGTTTCAGCACACATACACACCTGAAGTTCACGCAGAACTGTTGCATACAAGATGAGCTTACAGCACATTTTATGTGTGAAAACAAGAACTGTGGCCACATTAAGAAAAAAAGAACAACCCACAATATCATGTTACAACTGGGAAGAGGGTTGCTTGGCTGGACAGAGAAAGACTGATAAAGAATTTTTACCTGATGCATAAACTAAGGAAGTAGGAATAGGTATCCATGGCTTACTGCAACCTAATCTTTCAAACTGAAAGAGATTAAAAAAAAAAAAAACAACAGTAAAAATACAGTACAGGAGATGGAAGTATTTACTGATAAGGCAGAACATTTAATAATTGCTGTTACTACTTGATTTTTCATTTTTAGGGGATTCCAGTTACGTGTCACAAGCAGACACTGTGATTTTCAAGTAGCAGTCTTTAGAAAATTACAAAACAGGTCTATGGTAATTGACTTAAATATCATGGTGTGCTGATACCAAATTTAATATCCTGACATACTTATGGTTTAGAGCACGTCGTTAGCAGCAAAATGAACTAAAAATATTGGATATTAGAGTTATTCTGTATTTTCAGAGTCATAATTTGAATTTATATTTTTGTCCATCTAAGATAGCCACTGTTAACAGAAGAATGCCCAAGCAATGAGGATGATGGCTATCCAAAGGAGGACCCTGCTTCAGAAAGTCCTTTTGTCTCAGTGAGTACAGCTGCTTTCAAGTGACATTTTAAGTAGGCTTTGTTACAGCACTAATCAAAATGAAATTCAAGCAAGAATTGAATGCACACTGAACCCAAATATGTCATTTGCACTCAAAGCCAGAGTTGTGTACAGTAAAACAAACTAATATATTTAGAGATAAAGCATACAGTGTACGTACGAGTGGAGCTAACCATTCAAAAAGGTTGAATTTTTCACCATCATGAATGAAATACACCTGACCACTCTGTTGAACAGGTAGAGAAGAGACAAGTTAGTAAAAATAACACTGCATATACGTTGACTTGTTCACCTTACTCCTTATGAATAGCTCAAAGGCTGTATTATATAGAAACGTGCAGTACACATGGATGTACATACAAGCCAACAAACTGCACATATTTCCATCATCTTTTCTTCTGCATGCCATGAAATTCACTGTCAACTTGAGAAGCAGTTTGTATGCCTAACATACCTTGGTACAAATTATTTCTTACAGATTTACGTATACAGAAAGACTGGACAGACTATATAGGGATTACCAAATGCACTGGAAGCAGTGCAATAGATAACTTTTGCTGTTGACACATATTTAGAAGATGGTAGGACATGTTCTGGCCCCAGTCTAGTTAAGAGTCACTGAAACCCACACAGTTCCATCTGTGTAACAAAGCTGCAAATTATCTCTTAGCAATTTGTTTTTAGAGTTTTAGAAAAAGTAGTTTAATCTACTTTTCCTTTCCTAATCTACTTTTCTGATATCAAATATTTTTTTCTCATCTTCAGAAATGGCAAATAAGTATCATAAAAGCACAAAGATGTAGCTATTCTTGGAGAACTGAATATTCCAGCTCAACACACTGCACAGCCAGTGCTGCCACAGCTCACACTGTCCATGGCACATTTGTCAATTAAAAAATACAGACAACACAAGCCAAAGGACCACAGTATTACTACAGTAGTTACTGCAGTGCAGGATACCGTGGCAGGATCCACAGCCAAATGAAAACTATGGTGTTTTCATTGTTTACTTACAGCTATGTAGTTCTTCTCGGGAGTGAGAGCTTCAGCAGCCAGAATTTGAGCTTGTACAAGGTTCTCTACGTGCACCCAGTTCATTTTAGCAGAAGGATCCCCAAACTTGAAGTTAAGTATCCCTCTTTCAATATTCCTCTATAGACATAAAACAAACATGAAACCAAAGCAAGAAATAAGACTGGAAATATGTGTTGCTCTATCTCCTTTCATCAGTATTTTGGTTTAAGTTGTATGCAAGCAGATTTTTGAAATATCATAGAATGGCCTGACTTTTATAATTACAGTAAGCATTACATTGTAAAGCTGGACTTCCATGTGTTTGTATTTAAAAAGAGGCTTTTTTAATGTATTATGCATTCTTTGTAGATGTCATACAGTGTCTGACCAAAAAAAGTTGCAATATCATCAACAGACAATCGAACTGTTCAACTGATGCCAGATCAGAAGGTTGGTCAGTCTGTAATACACATAAGTGATGCTGTTCAGTACCCCAGAAAATGCTGCTGATTAGAAAATGGAAGTACATACTGCTAGCCTTGGCAGATGTCTTTGCTCCTCTGGTCCATAAATTCCTGGCGGGCGAAGAACACATGTATGCAGTGCTCCACCTCCTGGGAAAATTGAGACAACGATTCAAACCACGTGAGCTTCACACGACTTACGTTATCACCGCATGAGCTGAAGAATGCTGTAGCATAACTTACTCTAAATTAAATTTGCTTCACCAGCTTAAAAAGACCACACACCAGAAAGTGCTGAACTAGTAGATGAATATTGGCAAATCAAACCATGCAAAATAACAAGACAGGATTCAAAAAATCCTGCCAGCAATATTCCATAGGGGCAGGGAGGGACTCAGAGGTCTTTAAAGGTTCCTTCCAGCCCAAACCATTCTAAGAGCTCTCAAAGCATTGGCATAGCTAAATTCCTAGAATTTACTAGATATTTCCAAACTTCTAACCAACCAGTCCTTTATCTCTGTGCCAAAGCAGTCGGTGAGAGTGCCAGCTGTGGGGATGAATTTGCTGAAGTGAGCAAGTCATTAGTGAGAATGTGGAATGAAAGCAAACTGATCTCTTAGAAAATTATTGCAGGGAAACAGTATCTCACTGTGTGTGCAAGATGGAGCTGAAAGGCTCTCAGTAGTAGGCACAGCCTGCTCCCACTAGAACTGCTGTGGAACCTCTTGAGAACCTCAGTGGGAGAAAGTAAGGGCCACTGTAAAAATCCAGTGATTCCCAAGTGTAGCAGTTGACTGGTTTGTCATCTTCTGTTCTTAATAACTCTTCCTAATATTACTTGAAAACCTGCAAAATACTCATTCATGCTGAGAGCACAGGATCTAATTGAGATGTTTGGAACAGTGGCTGGCTAAAATCCCAATGAATTGCTTTGATCCTTTGCACAGGTAAATTAGTGTGAGTTTCATTGAGAAATGCACAACTATCTATACTGCTCCCAAAATCAGAGCATCTTTGATATGTTGAGCTGCTAAGAAAGGAGAAAATAAGAAAAAAAGCTTTTTGGACAAAATAATTCTATGGCTGTGAAATGCCAGTCAATGACTTGATATCTGTTTATAGCTCTCTGCAAGTATCAGGTGCAGAAAGTCTTTTTTCTAAGTTGCCCACAGCTAAATTGAGCCCTGTGTCACTCGTTGGCAGGGCGTCACGTTGCACTTTACATTAATTTGCTTTGTGCAGGCAGCTACAGTATCTCACAGGTGAGCTTAAGTATTCAAGTGTACAACTGCCTTCCTCAACACGGAAAACTTTGGGAAGCACTAATAAATAATTCCAGGCTGTAGTATCAGGTGCCTTATTCAGATTTTAATATATAAGGGAAGGGGAGAACAATTTCATCAGCATTCATGTTCTACTTATGCTGCATATTGCAGCGACATAAACACATTACTGTTTAATTTATTGCTGTCTTAATCTTTTCAATGAAGATGCTGAACTCACTGCTGCCATGCCAAGACCTTCTCTTGGCACTGTGAGAACTACAATTAAAAGTGATTTTTAAGAGAAAATCCTTCAGTCTGTGAGAAGGGGAAGTAACTTGATTTCTTAACTGCTGGACACTCTTGTCTACTGAATGACTGATACAGGATGCAGGATGTTAGTGAGGCAAGGGAAGAAGAGGAGTACATTTTACTATGAACTGCTAACAGAAAAGTACCTGCTAGTGGAGTTCCATTAGCTGCTAGTACCATTTGTTCTGCAATTGATTTGGTTCTGGAATAATGATCAACATGCTACAGAGAAAAAGCAGACAGGTTTGTATCTATTCTTGACATGGCATAACAGAGAGGCATTGCTTCTCTACTCCCTTCTTACATAGCAGATGACAACAAACACCTCACAATATGGAAGTTTTGGGATACTGGTTTAGGATAAAATATGTGCAGATTGTTAAGGCAAGCAAACATTTTTGTTTATGCAAACCCAGTTAATTAATTTCAGCCCATTTGAGAAGTAATAAATATATGTATGCTTTAATGCTGCCAAGAATGTAATTGATCAGTACTTAGTAATCTGGATTTCTTTTTCAGGTAACGGAAAAATCAGGAGCCAACTTTTTAAGACATCAGGACTGGTCTGTATTCTAGAGTTTGTTCTCTTGTTGCACTGCCTCAGAGAAAATAGTATTTGATATATTGTATTATTCAAAATGCCAGGCTTTTTTTGGGGGGGGGGTGGAGGGGGGAAAGAAGAATGTAAACAAAGAAGAAAAGTGAAAAAATAATACAACCCAAATACCTTTTCTATAGGAAAATATGGCACAGTTTCCTCATCACCATCTTCAATAGGAAGCCCTCCAAACACCACATTCACTGTACTGGTGTATATCAATCTAGTGACGTTCCTTTGTTTGCAAGCTGCAGCAATATATAAAGTAAAGTAGTTCAGTGGAAGCTTGAACAAAATAGAAAAAAACCTGTATGAAAGGGAGGTGTGCTTCTTGAGAGAAACTTGTTAGATTTTCTGGCAAATCTTAGAAGAGCAAATCCATTTTATTATTGGATTATTTAAGACACAAAGTATATGGAAGACAACAGTTAAATAGAAAATATCTGTTCAGAACCAAGTGCTTTATTATTCTGCATCTCCTAATTTAGGTAATGTAAGCTAACAGTTTGCCTTTGGGCTGGCTGCTACCAGCCTGGTGAGAGGGCTGCAGCCCCAGCCGGGTAGGTAGCTGGAAGACTTTCTGTTCCAAGGGCTGCCCACGACCTGCGCACACACTGTAATGCAGCAGTGAGGCTTACAGCATGGAAAGCTGTTCATGTCTTACATGCATACAGACTCTGCCATAATGTCAGACATGATTATGACAAGCTGAAGTAGTTGAACTGTAGTGCTGACACTAATATCTTGCCCCAGGTATGAAAAGACCATTGACATGTTTCCTCATCTTCTGTCAAAACTGTGATGTATTTGGTAAAAAAAAGCAGTTCATGACAACCAAGTAGGTTTTTTTTCCTAAATGGCTTGATACTTTGATATGCCACACCAACACCTACCAGCAGGGTTACATACATACCATCAATGATGAATCTTGTCCCATCGATGTTTACTGTTTCAATCTCTTCTTTGTGCAACTGGGAAAATAAAGTGGTGCCCTTTTGAGTAATGATACATTCTAAATTCCACAGGTGGACACTGTAAGTGTCCATAGATAAAAGTAATGAGTGCTTTGATTAAAATATATATATATATATATGTATAGACTGAGGTTTCAGACATCAAGAAGTGATTTACTATTATTTTTAAGCTACACTTGTAATTTTCTTACATTTTTTAGAGACTAGCTTGCTTGAAGTGAAGAGAATCATGGTGTTTCTTCCTACCTCCAATGATTATAAGACTGTAAACAGTGTGTTACATTGCCCATGTTTCAGTAGTACTCATTGACCAGCTGGCTCTACCCAGAGTAATTCCAAGTACACATTGCCCAGCTGCAAACATTTTTAGAAGCTCTTTTATACAGTTAAGATAATTACTGAAGTTCATTTTAATTTAATAATGTAAGGAGTGTGTGTGTTTTTGACTTCAATCATAAAAAAACTGTGGTTCAGAATCCCACATCAAGTACATCCTTACAGCTTTTTACCTACTAGTGGCAAACAATTAGGATTTGAAAGAAGGCAGTTATTTTAATTTAGTTACATAAAATAACTTACAATTCAGTTCACATTTCACTGCGTCCAGTGACCTTACATGTAGGGGTTCCATTTAAAAGGTTTAAGGAAAGAGGTTTTAGAGTGAACCTGCCCTCCCTTTTCTGTCCCTTTGTTCTTGCAGTGTTCCAAACCAACAGCCTCCCAGGCTGCAGTTAGTGCCTCTAATGATGGAGAAATCATTTCATACTAGGAAAAGGGCACTGTAAGCAGCCTACTTGTTTGCACAGAGCAGTTGACCAGACCAGCATGGGCATGGATTCAGGCTCCCAGCTTCATCTGAAGTGAAAAAGATCTAACATGCAATGTTACAAAATCAGGCCTCCCATCCTCAGTGTGGGCAGTCACACAGAAACATACAAAACAATTTGGACTCACTTGCTCTCTTCCTGACATTCCATATGAAGCTACATGAAACACACAGTCAGCCCCTTCACAGGCTGCAAATATGGCATCATAATCCCTGACATCTGCCTGTAATACATATGAAAAGATATTTGGACCTGGAATCAAAACGATAGGTTAGCATTTGTCATACAGTGGGTTAGCACAGAGGGAATGTGTTTTTGTAATGGCACATACAGTACATCCTGGGACTGAACAGTAGCTCCATTTCAATACTTGCTCATAATCACACATTTCTTCTGTAGAACTCAAAGAATTTAAAAAATGTTCATTAACCTCTTAACACCTCTATGAATCATGAAGTGCACTACTCATCTCATCTCATCAGAGGTGAACAAACTAAGGCCCTGGTGTGGGGAGTGATGGTCCTGAGGAGTTCCTTCAGAGACAGGAGATGAAGCAGTACTCTGTGCTGCACATTACAGCTCTCATCACTCTTCTTATTCCATGTGAATATTAAATGCTTGCTGATAAAAAATCATGTGGGATATTCACACAGTTGAAAATGTCCTTAACATTTCCAATTTTTTGCAGTAGGGTATTTGGATTCTGCAAATACTAGTAAAATGTTACAGAAAAGGCAAATTAACTTACTGTTGTGAGCATGTATTTTGTCATACCTGGATGCACACTACTCCATTAGGAACTTTCCAGATAGGCTTGTGTATATCGTACAGAACAACCGAAGCTCCTGAGCTGGCAAGAGCACATCCAAGCTTGTATCCCAAGTAGCCTCCACCTCCCGTCACCACTGCTCTCATGGTTTTATCCTTCGGTGCTCCAGCATTTCCCTTCACTCCAGAGCTAGGGGGTTGGTGCCAGGGATTTGCTGCCCCACTCACTGGAAGTTTTCTGTTGTTGAAATAATGTCCTCTGTGACCAGATGCAAACAACAGTTTCTTCTCCATGTTGAAAATTGCTCCATAGTGTTCCCTGATGCACACAATTCCAGCAAGCTTCATGGCAACCAGCTCTACTTGCAGCAGCAAGGTCTTACTTCAGTGCAACCTAAAGACAAAGCAAAACACTTGGTTCCAAACGTCCAAAGATTCCTCTTTAGAAGACCAAGCTACGTTTGGTTGTCTCATGTTATAAAAGATCGGTGGTGGCCTTTAGGGGTCATACATGAAACAGGGCCATACCTAAATCCTGAACTGTCAGGAAAACACTCAGTAAATTGCATTTAAGTCTCAATACTTTAAAACCAAGCAACCAAGGCCCAACAGAACAGTGGAACAAAACTGGCCTTGGTGCAAACGAATTTAGTGCTTTGTTTACTTGTCCACGGTTTATTGCAAAGCCATCTGAGCACACTGATGTTTTCAACACCATTCTAAGAATCAGCTGAATGTAAATTAAAATACACTGCGCTTTCATTATTGGCAGCGGTTGGAGCTGAGTACTTCAGACGGAAAGAAAGGCTTGCTATTTATCTGATGTCCTTACAGGGTGGATCAGCCCATCTGACCCCTCACTTTCCCGCAGAACTAAAGCACAATTGCAAAGTGACAGAAAAGGAAAGACCCGGTCAGTGGGTGTATTGAGCAAAAAGTAGGAGCGAAACAATTGTTTTTTAAACAAGAAGAGTCTTTTCCATTCGTAAAGCGACAGCCAACGGTACCCGCTGCCGACACGGCGAGTCAGAGGCGACCGGTACTGAGGCAGCGTTACCGCATCCCCTCCCCGCGCCTCCATAAAAGATTAAAGGCCACCCGAGCCGCCGCCGCTATTCTCTGCATCTCACTTGCAAATTCGCACGCCAGCACGGAAACCGCCGCTCCCCGGACGACCTCCGGGGCCAGGAGCCGGAGTCCGGCCATGGCCCAGCGGCCAGGGCACCTCTGGGGCGCCCTCCGGGGCCGCCGTGCGGCGGAACGGCCCCAAAGGCGCGGGCCGACCCCGCGCTTAACGCCCGGCTTCCCGGCGGGCCCCGCTCCCTGCGGCGGAGTCCCGCAGCACCCCGCGGTCACGCTCGTCTCGCGGCGCCTTTGGGACCCCCTGCCCTTCTGTGGGACGGCGCTCGTCCCGCGGCACGCCTGGGGTGCCGTGACCTCCAGCGGCATTCCCTGAGCCCCGCGGCATCCCCGGGACCCCGCGGCAGCAGCTGCCGGCGGTTCTCACCTGCGCGCATCTCCGGCCCGCTGCTGGAAGGCGCTGCCGGCGGCCGGGCTCCGTGTGCCCCAAGCTACCTGCTGGACGGGATGCTCGGGAATAAAACGGCATCTCTCGGTCAATGTCCGGAGAGTCATTGCTGGGACATGGCTCGGAGAGACGCACAGCATCGGCGACACCTGCGGAACAGCGGCAAATCCCAGAGGAAACAATCGCACGGACGCGGGCTGCGGGGTCCCTGCCCTGCCCTGCCCTATGGGCAGCGTGTGGGGGGGTCGGGAGCTGCAGGCGGTACAGTTACCCACTCCAGGCACAAACAAACTGAACTTGGAGCACTCTTACCTTTTCCATCACAGCTGTGCCATGGCTGAATGTTCGTATTAAATTTTAATCCTTTAAAGACACACTTGCCATTATGGTAGGGCACATGTAACTCTAACGGTAGCCAGCACAAACAGGCTCCGTAAAGACTGACAGAAGTGTGACAGCTGTTCCATACTGATACAAAAAGTTGTCTTAAAATTCAAACGCTGATTTGTAATAACAGGAAATTAATGAAACCAGTTAGCGTTAATCAGCACTAGTGCAGTACAGATGTAAAAAGCATCTTACCTGAAGTAGCAGCTCAGAGGTTTGGCATCCCAGGAGCAGAACAGCAGGGTTCCCCACAAACTGCAGCCACAGAGCCAGCAAGTTTTGTGGTTACTCCTTGCTGAGGAACACCCAAAACCAAGAGCCCATGGAAGCTCCTCTCACTGGACTTCAGCCAGCTGTCTGAGCTCTGCTCTGCAAAGTGTCGGTGTCACCTGGGATGCAGTCCTGAGCCATCAGTCTAATAAAAGTGATATATGCAAGATTCATAAATAACTAGTTTAAAGGCAAATTAAATATGTTTGCATGTAGTTAAAACGCTCTCGCTGTGAAGTAACTTTATACATGTGGGTTTTATTCTGCATTTCAAAGGAACAAGGTTTATGCAGTACCTGCCACAGCACTTGCCTGTCAGCCAGCTGCATTGCTTCATATGTAACTGGGCTTATCCACATTTGATTAAAGGTCTCTTATATACTGAGTTCCTTTCCACTTCCTGAAAGGAGTAGGAGAGAGGGCTGATCAGTGCCACTGCCACAGTCCCGTTTGTAGAGTTCTATTTGTATGGACAAGACAGTCTTACAACACCAGTCCCTCAGAGATCAGGCTTTCTGCCTTCACTGCACAGAGAGCTACTTGTTTATTTGTTTAAAAAAAAAAAAAAAAAAAGGTAAAACAAATCTTTGCTTATATGCATTGCAGAGTCAACTTGTGGTTGCTCATGTTTTCCTGTCACTGGGTATTATTCAAGATAGGAACAGTTTATGGTAGGGATGCTGTTAGCACTCCTGCGTACCCTGCAGATTTAAAGATATAATGAGAGTTTCCATGAACTTCTCAGTCTTAAAACTCCCACAAAATGCTAATGCAAAAGCAAGACAAATACAGAGTGCAGATATTCAGGCGGCAGAGCTTTTCCATCACTCTCCTCTGTGACTCACCCTGGCAAAGGTGCCTCTCCTGATCCAGAGTAACCTCATGAAAATTCATCTGGGAAACACATTATATGTATACATGTAGAACACATGGACCTTATGTAGCACAGTCCAGCCTGCAAGCAACTCTTAATGTTAAGAAGATCTTAAGGAGATCTTAAGGAAATCTTAAGGAGAAAGGCAGAGGTTGGACCCAAACTCAGGGCTGAGCTCTTGGTCTGCCTGCTGACACCACAACAGC